CATGATATTTATTTTGTGTGTATTATTTGCAGCCCTTTCTAAAATACGGTGAAATCAATTTGCATATATACTTTGACCAAAATATTTGAATCCTTTTATATATTTTGGACCTTGTGGCCATTTGATTATTTTATTAGGGTTACCATGGACTATATATTTTAAATTGTCAGCAATTTATTAGCAAACTAATAGAAACTTTATTTCATGCAAAATAAAACTTTATTTCATTCATCTAAAAATAAGAAATTTTTAAGTCATGGTGTTTTAATGCCATTATAAAAAGTTATTATCTATGTGAGGACTTCTATGCAAAAAATTTTACCCTCAATCAAATTTCAAACTCGATCAAGTTTGAGACTTCAATTTCTTCTAAGAAAAGCAACCTCCTTGTTCAAGTGTGACAGCTTATCATGTTACTTTTCATAGGAAGATACGTACATAACACTCAATTCTTACGTATTAATAACTTTTACATAAATGCCACCTTACCTATACAAAAAAAAAAAGTATTTTGCATTCTAAAGTCAAAATGGTGATATTTTTTATGTGATATGACTGACTTGGGTGGTACAAATGTAAGAAAGTAAAGTTTAGGTGATAGATATCTAAATACATAGGAATTGTGTGGTGTACATGTAAACGTCCTTTCTTCTTAATCTTTTCACCTTTTTACATCATCTTTAGTGTTATCTAGTTTCTTTCAAGGTCATCTTGCATAATCAAATCAAATAAATACAAGAACTACAAAGATAAATAGCATTCTGTTGAATTTGTGACAAGAACGGCGTAATATTATTGACAGGAGAGGTGTTTAAACTCAATTACAATGGATACGAGAAAGGAAAAAAATAAAAACAAAATAAAATAAATAGGAATAAAATAAAAACATAATAAAAAAATAGGAAAGAAATAATGAGCAAATAAAAGCTAATAAGAATTAATAATTCTAATACTTCTCTTAAAGTTGAAGCATATATGTCAGTTATATTCAACTTGAAATTGAAGTCATCAAACAACGGATGATGAAGATTTTTTGAGAGGATGTCCGCTGGTCGACCACTAAAAACACAAATTTTCTTGAACTCATTCTTTTCCTTAATGAAGTGTTTGTCAATCTCCACATGCTTGATACGATCATGCTAGACTGGATTGTGAGCAATGGTGATTGTGGCCTTATTATCACAAAAAAACTGCAGTGGGACAGAGGTTAGCATACGGAGTTCGCAGAGCATGATGCATAAATAGAGAATTTCACAGATTCCTAAGGACATGGACCGGAATTCAGCTTCAGCACTGCTCCGGGAAAACACAGACTATTCTTTGTGAATCCATGTGACAAGACTGACCCATAGAAATGACCAATACCCAAAGAGGAAACGTCGATCATGAACCGATTCAGCTCAATCAGCATTTGTATAACAGCAATAGACCGAGAGGTGTATCGAGAGAAAAATAAACCTAAGCCTAGTGTCTTTTAAATAATAGAGAAGTCGGTGAACGGCTTAAAGATGTTGTTCATATGGGTCATGCATGAATCGACTCAATATATCAACTGCGTGGCATATGTTGGGGCGAGTACGGGCAAGGTAGATGAGCGTGTTTGATTGTATAAGTAGCAGAAATCTGATGGTCCGTCAGGGCGGTAACAAATGCTTTGTAGGTCGGCGATAAACTGTGAAAAGAGACATATTTTGTCATAGAATAGAGGGAGCGTGTTTGATTGTATAACTTATTTGGAGAATTCGCCTCCCCAGTCAAAGGAGGGATCCTGTTGAAGATGTTGCCCGGAGTAGATTCAAGGTCTTGTAAGGAGGTGGTGGACTCCAGAGTAGAAACATTAAGACGGGTGCGCCAAGTGTAGACATGGACAGTGGGAGGAGGAGATGGCGTACTCAACGGAACAGGGTACTCCTCTGTGATAGGAACAACAAAGGGAATATCCATAACATTAGGATAAGGGATAGTGTTAGGGAACTCAAGCTCCTCCTCACTTAAGGTTGAGCTAGAAAAATAGAGAACACTTTCAAAGAAGAAGTCTTCAGATTTTGTTGGTGGTAGGATCAAGACACTGCTAACTCATTTGAGTTGTGAAGTATGCAAGGTAGATATATTTTATGGATCTAAGGTCAAGTTTACTCCAAGTGAGGGCAGTGTTTCGAACAAAGATTGTGCACCAAAAAATTTAAAATCAAATGTGGAGAAGATCCGATTGGTAGGAAAGTATGACACCAAGACGGCTAAGGGGGTTCAAAAATTTTAATTATAGAGAAGACTCTATTTATGATATAGGTGGCAGTCAGAATGGCACCATTCCAAAATTGTTTCGAGACATTGGATTGAAACATAATGGAGCAAGCCAGGATGAGGAGGTGACGGTTTTTCCCTCAATTATCCCTATTTTGTTGACTGTCCGTACACGAGCTATGGTGGAGAATGCTCATATTTATCAAAAATTTACCCAAAATAAAGGTGAAAAAGCTCTCAGTCATTATCGGCCTGAAGGACCTCAATAGGAGTTTTGAATTGAGTTAAAATAGAGGTGTATGAGTTTTAGAAGATGACAGTAACTTCTAATTTATCTTTTAAAATATAGAGTAATATCATTCGAGGATAGTCATCAATCAAGGTCAGGAACCAGCGTTTATTAGTATAGTTGAAAACGCGAGAAGGTCACCATATGTTAGAGTGAGAAAAGAGCGAAAGATATATAAGTGGGGTGGATCATAGACCCGACGATGCTTAGCTAACTAACATGTCTCGCAATTGAAGTTAAAAACATTTTTATTAGAAAACATCAAAGAATGTATTTTTTTTTAAATTTGAAAATAAGGATGACTCAAATGACAATGTAACAATATAATGGGACATTCAATGACTCGAGGTAAGCTAAAACCCCTGGGTGGTGTGTCCTACTCTCCATGTTCTTCACTTGGAAGTAGTAGAGTCCAGATACTCTCTTAGCAGTTTGAATCGTGCTCTCCAAATGATGATCCTAAAAAACACAACCATCAGAAAAGAAATTAACAACACAATTGATATCATTTGTCAACTTACTGACATATAAGAAGTTACATTGTAATAAGCGAGAATGTAAAACAGACTCCACACTTAAACCGGTCATTAGTAAAACCAACCCTTTACTAGTAATGGAACTACAGGAGTCATCAAAAATTTTGACCATATATTTTTCGGGACACGGATAGTAAGTCGAGAAAGCTTGTGAACATCTAATCATGAGATTCGTGTCACTCGAATCAATAATCAACAAACTAGAGAAGGAATAAACTGTGAGAGTCATTGAAAGAGTACCTTGTCGAACGTGGGAGGTCAATGGACTCACAAAGATTTGAGTGGCTCCATGAAATTTGGTCAGATGCCCCATCTAGTTTTTCAAGGATTCAGAGGATTCCAGGATGTTTCGGGTAAGAGTCGGTTAACTCGTGGTAGACTTGGAAGTCGTCATGATACATTTGGTAATAAAGGATTTGGCTGAAGGTTTGTATGTCAGCTTACAATAAAGTTTTCAACATTTTTCCTGAGTTTTGTTGGGTTTGTGACAGTAATATCAAATAGGTTGACCAATCCTATATGGCAAGGACGAGGACTGAGCACTTTTTGAGTCAAGGCGGACGATTCGGCTGAAGGATTGGAAGTGTTGAGCATGAAAAATCTATGGCTCTCTTACCAACGAATCTCGATGAAAGTTGCGCGAGCTGAAGGAAGAGGATCCCGACCAATAATACGGTCTTGAACTTCATTAAGGTCTTTGTTAAGACCAGCCAGGAATTGGAACATGCGATCCTTTTCAACAATCTTTTGAAAGAAGGACAGGTCGGCTGGGAAACCCAAGTGAAGTCGTAGTACAGCTTGCATTACATTCGTAGTGCAACAATGTCATTATAGTGTTGGGTCACAATCCTTGATCCCTGTTTTGCCTCACGAATTTTCTTAGATACCTCGTAGAATTGGCCGGAATTTCCTACATCCGAGTAGGTATCACGGACAGTCTTCCAGAGAGCACTAGCTGAAGGGAGGAGCATATATGAACGACCAATCAAAGTCTTCATGGAGTTAATCAGTCACTACATGACCATGGAATTCTCCACTTTCCAAGCTCTTGCCAGATCATTTTTTTTAGGCTCACGAACCATACCTGTAAGGTAACCAAACTTCTCACGTCCTTAGATAAACGATGACACTACTCGGGACCATTAGAGAAAGTTACTGTCGTTCAGTTTATGGGTTTTTATTAAGAAATTCATGTTGGTTTCCAATTCCTTGGTCTGCAAGGGAGCAGAAATTGGATTTGAATCTCCAGTGGAATTAAGAACAACTTCAGAAAGTGGTTTAAAGTTGAAAGAATCCACCTTGATTCCGACTGAGCATAGGAGATGTTGTTGAGGTTTTGCTGAGGTTTTGATCCATTGATGAATTCTGGTAGAGTTACGGCAAAAGACTGCAGGAAACTGCAGCTGCTAAAGAAGGGAGTGCAGAACCTCTGACGGCTGGATCAAGACCTTGCAACTGCACTAGAACCGATGGCTGCTGGAACCGGCAGTAGGAAAACAGGCTGTTGCTGGAACCGATGGCTAGAACAAATGGCTTTTGCAGCTCATACGAGGCCTGAAGGAAGACCGGCTAGAGCAGCTGCTAGGGAGTTTTAACAACAGCAAGAGACATGGGAAGGTTCAGCGGCAGGAAGATTCTGTAGGAATGGCAGGAAGATCCGTAGGAACGGTAGGAAGATTCAGTGCACGAAGAGACATGGGCGGGTTGCTAGGACGGAACTTCTCGGATTAAAACCTGGCTCTAATATCATGTTGAATTTGTGACAAGAACAGCGTAATATTATTGATAGGAGAGGTATTTATACTCAGTTACAATGGATACAATAAAGAAAAGAAATAAAAATAGAAAAAAAGTAAAAATAGAATAAAACATATTGGAAAGAAATAACGAAGGAATAAAAGCAAATAGCAAGTAATAATTCTAATACATACCAATCCCGACAATAATAGGAAAGCCCCTCTTCTCCAGCAAACCCTGAAGGAAGCAAGTTAAACAAAAAAATAAAGTAAAAAAAGACACTGTCATCAATGCAAAATAGTAATTTCGTTTTTCATTCTAAATTTCACTTAAAAAAGAGGTTTTGCAATACTGAACAACCTGAATTGCTTGCACAGCAAAAAGCAAGCCCCGATCAAAATTATAGGAACCAGGCATTGGAACAAGTTGCATGTTACCCCTGAAAGCAGAAGAATCTGCAGTTGTTTCAGAAGAGAAGCTTATAACTGAGAAGTAAATAAACAGATTTGCACCACAGTCAAGATATTTTGTTCGAACATAACTAAAGTATGTGCATGTGCCTGTGATGTTCTAGCACATGTAGCCACCCTTAGTGAAATAATCTAAATAAAAAATAGGCATTTACATACATACCACCATAGGAATTTACATATCTGTTACATAAACTTTACTTTCACATTTATCCACCCAATTCTCTCATCTCACATAAAAAATACTAACTTTTCATTGAAAGGTAAGGTGGTGTGTATGCAAAAATTAAAGTTTAGGTGTTATATATGTAAATACATAGGAATTGAGTGGCATTTATATAAATCTTCCTAAAATAAGTTTGATCCAATCAAAATTTATCAAGAAACCTGAAATAAAATTCCATGTTGCTGCCACATCGTCAATGTCGGACTTCTTCGGAGATCGAGTCCATGGCTGTGCAATGTCCTCTAGCCTAGGAACAACATTCCTAGATACACGAATTGGCTTAGGAGCAGCAATGGACCTTTCCTGACTCTCAATTAAAAGCTTACTAGATAAAGGTGGTGGAGTGTTAAGACGAGGAACACCTAAGCACAAGGAATCAATGATTAGAAAACAAATAGATAAACAATAAAACAGAAAGTTTTATAGAAAACCTAAAAAAATGAGCTCATAGAAATATAAAAGAATGTCAAGGCTGCTTTACATAATGAGAAAAGTGTCAAAATGGCCGATGACTTTTTGCAAAGGGCCATTTTAGTCCGAAGTAATAAAAGAGTCAATTTAGTCCCCAAACTCTTTCAATGTGGGTTTAAATAGTCCCCAATGAGGGGTATTTTATCCCCCACTAAAATAGTTTCAGAAATAAATTAGCACTTTAATAAAGTCTGGGACTAAAATGACTCCATTATAAATAGTCAGGGGACTATTCTGAGACTTTATTATTTAGATAATTACTCAGAGCAAAAAGTTCAGCCGCACATGGATTATGGGATCCATTATACTGCAGGATAAAAGAACAACACTTTAACATGGTAAAATACTAGCACAATGCTAGTCATCTTGGAGGTCACAAAAAATTCAATTGAACCGTTCATTAAAAAAAGACCTCCAAATTATTTGGTTACTTTCTAATCATTTCAGAACACAACTGAAGTCTTGCAAATAAATCCAACATGATCCGTCATGCAATAAAACATTCCAAAATACGATAGAATAAAGAAGTCATATAATGGATTAGCACAAATTTTAACGTTCAATTTTGAGGAAGGATGGAATGTCATGGTTTAGATTGTAAAATATTTATTAAAAAACATGAAAAATAGCTGTTCTGGTTTCCTTATCAAATAAACAGTTTAAGGGGTGCATGTTTCTTGCAATTTGGCCCTTCTCTTTTTCTGTTGATTTAGGATGCTCACCAACACCTAGTTCAATACAATTTGGCCATTTCTACTTTTCCTCTTGCAATTTGACTTTTCCTCTTGCGTGTAATTTAATCTGATCATTATCATAGTAATGAAATTTCTAGAATATTTAGAAAACCTTATGAAACCTTCCAAAAAAAACAAGGATACCTCCAAAAATACCAAACAACTTCCATATAAGTACATCAAGTCCTCAAGGAAAGAGCACTCTGGGCAACTATAGCTCAAAAGACATTAAAATATGCCGACATACTACCATTGGGGAAAGGAAGGAGCATGCCATACAAAGCCAATCAAAAAAACGCATTGCCAAAGCAACCACATCATTATCTTTAGCGTCAACATCGATTCATCATATTTTGAAGATCAACTGTATCATTTCAACCACGTCATTAGGTTGGTGACATCAGAGCTCATTAAGATAGGCTATGATAGCAACGGAAACCACTTCATGATTGGGCATCTTAGATCAAACAGTTATGGATCAAAAAATTAACTCTGATTTATTGTAAAATCACTAACTGGTCATTTGGGGAAGCTTTCCAGTGGCTTCATGGTGCCAAGCCGTGGAAATGGTTGTTTGAATTCCGCATCTTAGCGACATTTTACACACCACATTTCACTTTTAGTTCCGTTTTAACAACACGTTCGAGCGAGCGCGGTCCACGTTTTGGTAAAGGGTAATTACCCAAAATCCTTTGTCTTCAAGTTTTATCTATGCCCTAGCTCTCGTTCACTTTCTTGAAACTGTGTGTATTGCATTAATAAAAAAAAGAAGAAATTATAAAAATAAGCAAAATGTTTAACTATGCATATACAAAAAAGAGACATATCCTCTTAAAGAATAGAAGCAAGGTTACTGCATCATTTACATGTTTAAAATCAAAACCCCCATTTAATGCAAGTGTAGCCCAAAAATGGGCAGCATAGTTGCATTCCTTATGAGCATGGACAAGAAACATTTGCTTACAAAATATCAAATAGAAAAAATATTGGCCGATTCCCGTTGTTTCTCCAAATATTCCTTCATCATAGTGGTAGCTGTCTATGCCCTAGCTCTCATTCTAAAGCCATTGTTTATAGGAGAAGGTGATCGAAAGTGTATTTCTTCGAGTAAAAGGGTGGAACTCTCTATTTTTTTTTAATTTTTGTGGGCAAATTCATTATTTTTTTCATTTTTGATTGGATTTGACCTTCCTCTACTGGTTATTCTATGCATTCATTCAATTCCGAAGGGATTTTAACAATGTTGAACTTGTTTCTATGGGTTTGTTTTATTGCCGTATTTGTGAAATATGCTTTTGATCAGCATCCTCCAATACAACTCTCTGTGGGATTTGTTTTGCTCTAGAATTCTGATCTATACTGTTAGGGGCTCTATATATTTTAGAACCTCTTATACGATTCAAATATTTTCATGAAATCGTTGGTGGCTTGTGGTATTAGGGCTAGAAATTACACTTTTGCAACGAGTATTGGATCTTTTCAGTTAGTTAATAGATATTGCCACTGTATTGTGGTATTAGTTCTCGTCTTACTAAATTGACAGTTATATGCCTAGTGTCACCTCCCAAAAGAGCCCTTATGGGTGGTGGGCAGCCCAGGACTTAAATACTGCTTTTCGGCCCTACACCTAGCCGATGTGGGACTATTTGTCCGTGACATTCTCCTCCACCCAATCACGTGACGCCCTCGTCACGGATCGGCTCCACCGAGGGTCCCACTGGACCATGGAGAGTCCACACACCTGGCAGGCAGTAATCTGCTCTGATACCACTTGTCACCTCCCAAAAGAGCCCTTATGGGTGGTGGGCAGCCCAGGACTTAAATACTGCTTTTCGGCCCTACACCTAGCCGATGTGGGACTATTTGTCCGTGACACTAGGCTTCTTTGTATGTGGAATTTGCTTGAATTATGTAAAGGGAGATGGAATCTTATTAGTTCCTATTAGGGCCGGAAATTATAATCATTGCCTTCACTTACTTGAATTTGATTAATGATACAATTTTGTGATGGATTGGACCCTATGGAGCACAAACACGAGGACACGGATATGACACGATACAACATAGCACGAAGTAATTGGAAAAAATAGGACAGGATACGGCCCACATTTTTTTATACTTAATAAATTATATATATATATATATA